ATACATATATATTTTTTAAAAGGTTAAACACTGCTTTATATCTAAAATACGTATTTTTTTAAATGGCTAAATGCTAACTTAAAATTAATTGAGAAAAAATATTATCTAACTTTCACCAACTTTCTGTGAGTGCACACACACATATATATATGTTTCTGAAATTTAGACAAAACATACTAAGGTAAGAGTAAACGAAATTACTTGTGTGTTACAATTTGACAGCTAAAGTAACTAAATAGTAACAGAGATCACTACCTCATTTATGAAGAGAACAATAAAATACAAATTTGAGCACTATCACTTACACAAAAAAGAACCGTGTGCAGACATGATCCGTATTTGGAACGACCCATATCTCTCCATGTTTGTGCAGATCAGGTGAGGTGATTACTGTAGGTTGAAGACAAAATTAAAGAATTACTTTATTGGAAAAAATTTCAAATCCGTACAAGTTTCTATATCCCTTCTCTTTAGAAACCAGAAAACAAAAGCACAAAGATAAATAAACAAATGAATAATATTCAGTCTTATTAACTAAGAAGAAATATAAATAAAACAATGCACGGTCCTGTAACAACATCATCACATGTGATAAACAATTAACTCTTTTAACAGCAGGAGAGAAGTAACTCATAGATTATTAGAAACAAAGCTTCCCTGGGCCTTGAGAATTATGTAGTGGACAGTAACACCCTGCATAACACAAAGCCACCTCTGGTGGTTTAGAGCCACCAGGGACATTTTGGGAGAAAGATGGGAAATCTCCTCTAGTGCCATTTACAATCTTGGAAACTCAGTGGAAGGTCAGCTAAGAGTCAGTTCTGAATTAATGGTGAGTTGAGTTGAGCTGACATAAAGCTCAAGTCTTGACAAGTTAAAAGGCAGCTAAAAGTTTAAGAAACTGCACTGCAATTCGGAAGGTATGTAGTTCCAATCCATCAGCTGCTCTGCAGGAGAAGGATGGGCAATGTCCTCTCATGCAATTAATGGCAAACCTGCTGGAGGGTCAGCTACGGGTCAGCTCCAACTCGATGATCCTTAGCAACAACAACAGTTTAACTCTTGACCAAAGGGGTGGAGCGGGGATGACTTTTTAGCCAAGTCAGACTTTTAAACAAAAACAAAGAAAATTGTAAGGTATTAAACTTTTTTTGTCTACATTCATAATAGAAGAATAATTTTAGTGCAGAAGCAGAAATATCTCGAGTTATTTCCTTAATGTGTGGTTCATCTTTCAAAGTTTTCACAGTATCATAAGCTTAACATCAACTCAAAAAGCAAGCAAGGTAACATATTAACAAAAGTGATAAATAAGCACTGCCTCCTCAAAAAGATCACAAAAGGACAAATATTGCATAGTGCTACTTTTGTAAAACAGGACTACATCAGTGTTGGGGGAGACTGAGAAAGAGGGAATAAATAATGCACACTGCATTGAGACAGATGAGTGTTTAAAAGGGATATATGATTAGTTATTGTTGTTATGACAAAAGTCCAGAATGAAGGCTACAGAATGGAGTGGAGTTGGGGTGGAGGGGAACTCTTTAACAATGAAAGAATTTTTGTTTTACTTTTCAAAGAGAAGAGTGAATGGGGAGGGGGCGGTGGACAGGGAGAAAAACGCAACAAGGAATGAAAGGAAATCCAAAGTCTCTGTAAACGTTCATTAAAATTAATAAAAAAAGGATTTACTTATTATCCTGAAATATCTACCTAGAGCAGTATTTAGCACTGTCTGAATCCCTGTTAAATGTGTCTTTTAAATGTTAAAACCTTTATGATGTCTATTGTATCTATTTTCCATTTGTGCCCTTAGGGATAGTCACATGGCACAATGCTTTCACTATTCCACTATGAACATGTGTATATATACATTTGAATTCTTATATATAGGTAAGATGGGCAGCAATGTGATGAGGTTTGTGAAACTTAGCTTACCTTCACATAAAGCAATGCATTTTAAGTTACGGCTCTGCAGGAATTGAGATTGTTGTCCTTTTTTCTGTGACTAAATACCAAAATAATTTAGAAATTAGAGTGAAAACAGACATTTAAAAACCCTGAAAAACATGTCTTTAAGATAATTCCAGCTTAAAAAGTAAATAAATAAGCCAAGCTTATCTAGGCTAGCAGATATCAGTGATAGTATCATGGATTCTTTTAGTATCAAGCTATGTGTTACATAATTTAATTTTTGTACATCATCATCATTAAAGCACTCTCAAGATAAGTGAATTAATATTAATGCTTAGTTGTAGTAAAAGATTTTCATATCATAAACTAGGGCTCTAATTTATTTTATTGGATTCTTGCCATTCTTACATCAAGGTAAACAAAATTATGTTTGCATAATCTTCTTGAATATTAAAATCCAATACCCAAACCATCTAACTACCTAAAACCAACACATTCATACATAATAGTTCAGAAAAATTTTAAAATGCCCTAATCCACTTCATGGGTGACTTTTAATCCACAGCCCTCGGGCCAGTCTTTCATTGTTTGTGTTCAGACATTCCTCTAGGCTGTATAGCCCTGGTGTACAAGTTGCAGTACCGTGGTCACTTGTGGTTGCTGTGAGGCTGAACACTGTGACACTGATGTGTCAAATGCATTGATGGTTGGCTACCCAATGTGGACTGAGAGTGGGGTGGAGCTCCCCAATTAAAACAAGCGTGGAAGGAGGAGTGGCATCCACTTCCATAACAGCTTGCCTCCGGAAACCCTATGAAACTGGAGAGAGGATGAAAGACACCCAAGCGTCGAGGACTCTCCTTCATAGGGTCGCTATGAGTCGCCTGTGACTCGATGGAACTTTAACAACAACAACAACAAATCCACTTAATAGTATCACTGTTAACACATTCAGAAATATCTTGCACAGAAGACATATTTTAGGGAGTGAAGTGGGTGAAGAAGATAGAAACATTTTTCTTTTTAAATTAAGTTCTGTTGTTCATTAGATAGAATTTTTTATTTTAATCTTCCTAGAATGTTTGTCTTCTCTGAAACAATAAGAGATTCGTGGTTATTCCACTCTGGAATACTCTTTCTTCAAGGGAGCCACAGCAAGAGGCACTTTCTACTACCCCCGATGTTGCCACCTATTTTTGTCTACACCAACAACATTCATCTCTCCTTTCCCTTCACTAAAAGGCATTCTTTATCCCTTTTCTTTGACTTTTTTCTAGACTATTTCTCATCATATGGCATTATCTATCCACTGATCTAATTTGTTTTCTTCTAGTCTAGAATGCAGGCTGAATAAAACTTGGATTTCTCTTTATAGTCTCTGCCGTATTCCCAATGTCTTGCAGGGTCTCTGGCATATAGTGGTAGCTCAATAGATATTTAGTGAATAAAATCTTATTACATGTTAAAATAAATTTTAGTTCTCCATGAAAGAATGACCAATTAAAAAGCCCGAGCATTTTTTAATCCCTAGAGTTAGTGCATTCACAGCTCAGTAGTTGCACATAGTCACTTTGATCATGTCATGAACTGTGTTCCCCATAATACATACTAGTACATAGAGATACATATAGATACATACATAGGGATAGATACACACTGGTATAAAGTTATGTAATGACCTATCCTTCACCCTTCCACCTACCCCACCTCTCTAATTTAGTTGGAGGAGAACTAAGGGTAGAATACAATACTTTCTAATCCCAGTTTAGTCCTCATCTAAGGGGACTTTCCTTAGAGTATGGCAATAATACATTTAATTTAGAGATAAAAGAGGAAGAGTTCAAGCTAGCTGATGATGAGGGGAAACATCATAGTACCAGTAAAAAATAATCATAAGGAGTGGAGTATATAATTTTAGACCTAGGCCTTGAGACCAGAGGAAAGGTCAGGACACAGAAATCTCCAAGGTATGTGAATGTTAGCTAGATCTATAGATTCTGGAGGGAAGAGAGAGAGAGAGCGCGCGCGAGAGAGAGACAGAGAGTGAGCAAGCCTATTTTCCACTTACAAACTATAAGACAATACATTTCTGTTTATTAAGGCCATCCACTCGTGGTATCTCTATTACAGCAATGTTAGATATCTAAGACATTTGTACACCACCTGTGATGCACTGCTGCTTTTACTGCTTGAAGCTGGTTCATCCTTGGCCGACACCTTCTGCTTCTTGTTCATCCCTGAAAATATCAGCCAAACAAATTACTGAGAAACCATGCTGTATGGTGAAGTTCAAAATACATTATCTCACAGTACAATGCATTAGGCGAGAGATGGTCACAACGGGTCTCCCAAATGCAAACCCAATTCTCTGGTTCTTATTACGTGGGGTTGAAAGTGGGTTTTGAATTTGGGACCTCTGGTGACCTAGTGTTTAAGAATTGAACTCCCAACCCAAAGGCAAATGATTGTGTTCTGGTTTTATTTTAATTAATTTTAATGAACGTTTACAGAGACTTACGGTTTCCATTCATTCACTGCTGCATTTTTCGCCCTGCCCACCCCGTCCCCCCAATTAGCTCTTCTCTTTAAAAAGTAAAAGAAAAATTCTTTCATTGTTATACAATTCCTCAAACCCTGCCACCCCCCAGACCACTCCACTGTACAGCCTTCATTCTGGACTCCTGTCATCACAATAATACATAATCATATATCCCTTTTAAACAGTTCTCTCCATCATCTATTTCAATGCTCTATATATTATTTATCCCCTCTTTCTCAGTCTTCACTGAACACTGATGGTTTTAACCCAGCAGTTCTTTAGGAGAAAGTTGAGTGATCTCCAATCTGAGTTACAGCCTTTAAAAACCCACTCTTATGCTAGGAGGTAGAAATCTCAGTTGGTTTTCTTTCCATTAAAAACACAGCTAGCAAATTCTTTTGAATTAAATCTATATATTTGGGAAATTCTCAATACTCAGTTTTTAAAGTCTTTTAGATTCTAAATGATATTTTCATCATTTGATTAATAGGAGGGGAGATAAAGATTAAAGAGGTATGAACATTATCTTACCTTCATTAGCAACTTATTGACCTATACTAAATTCTGTTTAGAGCTGAAACAGTTTCTTCTAATTAAGAGAAATTACGCGAGTTTTATTTGCCATGATATATTTAGAGGTAGCTTATAATGTCTCTTGGATATATTATTGGGTATAATGTCTTAGGAAGAGTTTTAGAAAAGTAAAATGAAAATCCTGTCAGTTTTAGAATGAGTACAGTTGTTTTATCTTGCATCTATATACTTTATCTGAAAGCATCCATCTACTAGCACAACAGAAGTTGAGATGCGTTATTTTGTGTTGTTTCAAAGGGCTACTGAGAATGGAATAAACCTGTTGATCCCATTCTGAATGGCTCATATCTAGAATTCCAAATGAGGCTTTCGCCCAAGGCGCAGAGGTGGGTGTATTTAGGTTGAGAGATAGGCCTAGGATTTCAGACAAGGTTCTTTGGGAAAGCAAAGGCTACTATAGGCCCAGTAGTTCCTGGGTGATGCAGCTGGAAAGCTAGTAATTTAAGAGTCCATCCTGATGCCTGAGAAGAATGGTTTGATGATTTACTTATAAAAAATCAGCCACTGAGGATACGACAGAGCTACACTTCTACTATGACACACATTGGATCTCCATAAATTGAAACTGTGAGATGGCTAAGGGTCTGTTCCACTCACTGATTATAGGCTCTACATCTTCCAAAAACAAATTCAGAAGCTACTTCATTTTCAGCGGAATAATTCTTAGATTTTTCTCAGCTCAAAGATGTTCAAGAATTTGATAAAAGGTGTAATTCTTGGTTCTCAGGCAAATGCATATATATGTATAATTGCAGAAGTCACAGAATTCAATGGACGTATTTCAAGTAACAGATGAAGCTCTGGATGTGCTCATCAACTTATTCCAGGAAATCTGGAAGACAACTACCTAGTAAACTGACTGGGAAATATCAGTATTTGTTCCCATTCCCAAGAAAGGTGATACAACAGAGTGTGGAAATTATCAAATGATATCACTACTATTGCATGCAAGAAAAATATTGTTGAAGATAATCTAAACACTGCTAGAGCAGGAAAATTCCAGAAGTTCAAGCCATAGCACCAGAAACATCACTCCTGATATAAAAATTTTGGCAGACAGCAGAGAATATCACAAGAATGTGCACTTGAGTTTTATTGACTATGCAAAGGCATCTGACTGTATGGATCATAACAAACTACGGCTAACAGTTAGAAGACTGGGAATCCCAGAACATTTAATCATGCTCATGTGAAACCTACACATAAACCAAGAAACTTGTGGGGAGAGAGAGAGAACATACACACATGAACACACTGCTTGGTTTAAAACCAGGAAAACTGCATCAGGACTGTATGATTTCCCTGTATCTATTCAATCAGTGTAATAAGGAAATAATTGGAGAAGTTTGACTTTATCAAGAAGATGGTGGCATCACACAGGAGAATGATTGATCAGCAATCTACATTATGTAGATAACACAACTCTGCTTGCTGAAAGTGAGGCAGGCTTTAAACACTTGCAGAAAGATACAAATCTACAACCTTAAAAATGAAGAAGACAAAAATGGCTACCAGTGGGCTGACAGGTAACAACTTCATGATTGATGGAGAAAAGACTGAAATGTTCAATGATTTTATCTCCCTTACATCCACAATTAACACCTTTGATACCAGCAATGAAGAAATCAAAAGAAGTACTATACTGGAAAAGTCTGCAGTCAGGGACCTCTCCAAATAACTGATGAGTAATGATATCAATCTGAAAATTCAGGTATGCCTGATTCAGGCTGTGAACTTTTCAATTCTTTGCTCTGCATCTGAGAGCTGGGCAACGAGTAAGGCTAAGAGAAACAGCACTGTCTCTGATTTGTGGTGCTGGAGAAGAGCTCTGACTACCCCACGGATGACCAAAATAACAAGCAGGTAAGTCATGGAGAAGATTTGGTCAGAGTGCTGCTTAGAGGCAAGGATGGCAGAGCTTCCTCTCCCATTCTCTGGACCCACTGACCTTTCAGCGACCATGTGGTCAATGGTTCCAACACTAGCTCTGTCTTATATTTCAGGAGATGTATTAGAAAGTCATCTTGGCATTTGTATTTTGTTTTCTTTCTAATATTTAATCAAGTGCCTTTAGTACAAACATATCAAATTATGCCTGTTTGTTGTTGTTCTTATGTGCCGTCGAGTCATTTGTGACTCATAGCGACGCTATGTACAACAGCCCTAAACCCTGCTTTGTCCTGTGCCAATCGCATTGCCTCTGACACTCTCATCCCGATTACCCCAGTCACTGAATCAATCCACCTCAAAGAGGGTCTTCCCCTCCTGCGCTGTCCCTCTACTCTACCCAGCATGATGTCCCTCTCCAAAGACCTGTCTCTCCTTACAACATGTCCAAAGTATGTC